TCCACCTGATTCTCATGTCCACTCAGGACCCCTTGTGGTCACTTATTGAGGGCACCCACAGGCCACTCCCCGCTGCAGGGTGGTTCAGCTCAAACACGCGGAGGACTTGGAAGAGGCAGCATGCCAGGCTCCTGGAGGGGGCCGATTCGACTTAAGCCCTTTCTTGTCAAGGAAGCACCACTGCTCCCCTCCCCAGCCCCCCACTTTCTCTCTTGATTTTCGCACCCACTTGTCTCTGTCTGGTGTAATTCTTAGCCAGCTTGTCTCCAGTAGCAGCCAGATGGCTTAGGCTGCCAGGGAAAGAACTGGTGTCCTTCCTGTCCCAGGAGGTCTCCCCTCCCCGCCTCATCCCACTGCGCTGTTTCGGCATACTTTTGGTTTTGCTCAAAGCTGTTATCGTACTTCGGTCTGTTCACTGTCTATTCTCGCTCAACCCAACTCTAAGTACCACGGGGCAGGGATCGTATCTGACTTAGTCACTCTGAACACCCAGGGCCTAAGGAGGTATCTGGCACGTTGTAGGGGCTGTTCAATGAGTATTTGTTGAACAAATAGAGGAAGGAAAGGCTGGGGGAAAGGGAGGTAAGAAAGAGCGAGCCAACAGCTCCCACTGAGTGAACCCTCTGTGGATGGCAGGTTGTCCCATGGACGCCAAAGGAGGGGATTCTGGCTCAGCCTGTGTCTTAGCAGACACATCACCCTATACTCCTGCCAACTGGTGTGAATGCTAGAAAACGGGGGCCGAGTGAAGGCGCCCACCCCAGAGCCTCCAGGGCTCTCCCCACCATCCCTACCTCGGCGTCCTGGGGTAGGGACTCTGGCAGCGTCAGTGCATCTCTCCAGCTGCACATGAAGGACGTGTCAGGGACATCACTCAGACCAAGTGGGCCGGTCATAAACAATGTGGGGCGGAAGGAGCTGGGGAAGTCCATCCTGGAAAGCAAGAACCACACATCACGCTGGCCTTCTCAAACGCCTGAGTCTAACCAACAGTCTCCAGGGTTCCGGGGAGGGTAAAATGTGCCCTCAGAAGAGTATACTTTCTTTGGAGAAGCAGATAATCAAGAACAAATGAGTATGTAGCCTACTGTCAAATATAAAACCAACAACCACCCATGAGGGAAGAGATGGCAATGGGCCGAAGGTTTTAGTGACGGTAACCAGGGAAAACCTTGGTGTGGTGTTTGGCAGAGCCTGAACCTAATGAGGGAGAGAACCACACAGACACCTGGGAAGAGAGTTCCTAGCAGAATAAATAGCAAGTGCAAAAATCCTGGGGCAGGAAGTGTTTGAGCAATAAAGAAGAGGCCATAGAATGAATGAGGAGGAAGAGTGGTAGGGGATGAAGTCGGATAGGTGGCGAGGGGTCAGCTTCTACCATAGCTCGTAGGTATTACAATTACATATTTGTAGACTACGTGCCCTACACTCCAGGCTACACTCCCAAGACTAACTCAAGTTCCCCAAAGCTAGGGACCGAGTCTAATTAGTCTGTCTTTTCACTGTCAAGGACAGTACCTTCCAGGAAATGCACTATGTGTTGAATAAAAATAAATTTAGTGAAAGGGCTTTGCTAAACAGAAAGTGCTCTAAAAGTAGCAACACAATTCCTCTTTTTTTATTAACAGCAAAAATAACAGCAGTGCTCATTTATTGAGTGCAAACATCTACCGGACATGGTAATACATGATTTACTCTTCTATTCTCCCTATTTTGGAGTTTAGGACACTGAGACTCAGGCAAGAAGCAACTGCCCAAGATCAAAAGCTTAACCCCCCCATCCAATTCAAAGTCCAAGTTCTGCACTGCTACTCTCCTGTGCATCTAAAAGCAAATACTAGCATTAGGGTCTTAGTAAGCACAAATCTTTTCCCTTGGAAGTGCCGCTGCATTTTATCCATTTATTCTGTAAATTCAGTGTATCCATGTATCTTCAGGCCATGTGAAATGCACATCACATAGTAAATGACAGTAAATACTTGCAAATGAATGAATATGTTTCTCTAGCACGTCGGCCTCATTCTAATTGTGCCTTATACATAGTCTTATCTCTTCCAGTAGCCTGCAAGCTCTCCAAGAACAGGGACTGTTTCTGACTTATTCCCAAGTTAGTGGTGTCTAGCTGCTGCTGTCATTCTCTTTTCCATGACCAGAGAAGACAGTGGCAGGAATCAAGGAGATGCTCAGTGAGTCTTTGTGAAAAACATTGGCTTCCATAGGACTGTCTTACTGATTGCAGTTAAGGCGCACCCAAGCCTTCCAGAGGTGGCTGTATCCCTGATAAATCAGCACATACACACAAAAGTCTCCAGCTCATCTCTTGTGCCTGGGATCCAATCACACAGAGCCCCTCTAGATTCTTCTTCACCATGCTTCTTTTCACCACAGGGCTTCTACACACATTCTCTCTGCTTAGAATAATTGCCAGCGCCCTTTCTATCTACAATATCCTACCCATCCTTCAGATTTCGAGTCAGAAAGCCTCTCTCAGTTCTCCAACCCATCCTCCCACAACACACTGCATGCTTCCTCCAGAACACGCACTGTAATTTGTAATTACATATTTAAACATGAAGCTTTTTTTTTTTTAACTGCTCTAATAGTCTCCACGAGGAAGAGACTTTATTTATGCCCAGTGCCTTGGTATTTACTACATGGTAACAATCAGTATAAGTAAGCTGAAGGAATGAATGAACAAAAGGAGAAAGGACAGCCTCAAACTCAGGGATTCTGAAGGCGCTGGTGGAGCCCACGACCTCAGAAACGCCCCACAGACAACTCAACTTCCCAATCTCACCGGAGGTTCTCAAGGCCCCTTCAGATTTCCAAGGCTGCATTACTGCCATGGCGGCACACGACAGAAAGTGAGACTGTAGCAGGGGATGGATGAGGAAATCCGGACGGTTCCTCCCCTCACACACGTCTTCCCTACCCACTCTATCTCCGGGTCCCAGAAATTCAACAGTAGAGGACTCTCGTCTAGCGCTGTGTAGCAGATAGCTGCTGCCGCTCTTTACTTCTCTACGAGCTAGAGACTAATAACCCAATCTGTAGGTGTTGGATGACCTGTCCCAAAGGCACGCAGCTTGGGGCCCGTGGACCCGCTCAGAGGGCAGACCCAAGCTCTCCTCCCAGCTCCGGGACCACCTTCTCTCTGCCGCCCGGCACGAGCACTTACGTTACCCGGGACTCGCCGTGCTCGTCTAGGAAATGGACCTCCGCGTGATGCTCATGTGACCTTCGTAACACGAGGGAGCCCAAAGCGACACCCTACCTTCAGCAACTTTCTATAATCAGCCCCATAGCATCAGCAATTAATGGTCTTCCGGGCCGGAACGGAAGTGCTCTCTCGAGGCAGGAAATCCCGCCTCCTAGTCTGGCTTCAGGGGCGACCTACAGCGCCACCTCCCGGGCGGAGGGGGAATGGGAGCGGAGGCGGTGCTGAGTACAGCAAAAATAAAATCTCAAATCCTAATAGTGAAGGCTGTTTTGTGGAGAGTTCGAATCCCACCTATGCTTAACTATTTTTTTTATTTCGAAGGGTTCTTTTGAGTATTAAATTAGTTCATTCAACAAACACTGAGCACCTACTATGAACTGGGCACTGTATTAGTCAGTAGGAATCCTAATGATTGTCTTAATACCCTATTACGCAGACTTTACAAATTAGGGTACAGGTATGCCTGGGAATGCATAAGGCTTTCCCAGTGGTCAGGCAAGTATAGCTTTAGACATTGATTCTCAAATTCTGGCAGGCATCAACATCACTTGGAGAACATGTTAAAACACAGGTTTCTGATTCAGTGAGGCTGGGGTAGGGCCTGATAATTTGTGTTGCTAAGTTCTCAGGTGATGCTGATTCAGCTTGTTTGGGGGCCAAGCTTTTAGAACTGTGAAATTATAAGTCTTACAATTGTCTTAACCCAAAGGCTCTGAAACTTGATCACATTAGAAGCCCCTGGAGGATGTGTTAAGTCAACTTGTTGGGCCCCACCCCCAGAGTTTCTGGTTCAGTAGGCCTGGGATGTGATCCAAGAATTTACATTTCTAATGAGTTCCCAAGTGATGCTCCTGCTTCTGGTCCAGGCACCACACTTTGAGAACCATTACTTTAAAGAATCGATTTCCAAATTCTCAGCTTCCATCTATACAGTTTTTATCTGAAAGATCCTTGGAATCAGATGTTTCTCCGTTTGCATCTCCCCAATCACTTTTTCCCCAATCTTGGAGTATTGTCCGAGGCGGGCACTGAACAAGGGGGCAATTCCAAAAGGCAGTGTTCCTGCAGGAGAGAGTCACCGTAAGACTAAGAAAAGCAGGTTCAGTAAGAAGTAATGATGAAAGGGTGCAGGAGGGAGAATTTGGGGGCTAACAATATTTTCTTTGTTCATCTGAGTGCTGGTTACATAGGTGTGTTCAATGTGTGAAAATTTATCGAATGATTTGTACACTTTTCTGTTCATATGTTTTACTTCAATAGTCTTTTTTAAAAAGAAAAAAGAAAATACTGCTGGCTGTTAACAAATTATCTCATTGAGACTTTAACTTCTTGGTTAGGCTAAGTGCCTTCCCAGCTACCTATCTTAGAAATAGAATTCAGAAGTCACTCTAGGAGGACAGGAATTCTGTCTCTGTTGGTCACCAATGCATCTCAAACAACTAGAAGAACAGATGCTTGATAAATATTTGAATAATGAAAAGTGGAATGAAACGAGATGGTTCTTCTAAGAAAATATCAACACATTTATTTAAATTGAAGAAATAGACAGTTTCTGATAGAAAGTAAGCCTGATTTAGTTGAGTGGTTTGACTATGAAGACAGCCTTTGCCAGTTAAATCATTTGGAAAGTGTTTTTCATAAATGGAATAAGCTTAGTCTGCATCCACATGGTTTTGGTGAAAATATATTAGAAAGATGATTATAATATACAATAAGTTTTAAAACTGCATCTTTGTAATTATTTAAACTTGTGACTAAAAATATTTAGGATACAAAGTTTTCAAAATAATTTTACAGGTATATACGCAAAAAAAATTGAATGCCATTTATATTTGTTTCCTTTTGCTGCTGTAACAAATTATCACAAACGGAGTGGCTTAAAACAACACAATATCACATAGCTGTGGAGGTCAGAAGCCTGAAATGGGTCTCACTGGGCTAAAACCAAGGTGTCAGCAGGGCTATGTTCCTTTCTGGAGGCTTCAGGGGAGAATTGGGTTTGGTTTTGTCCACCCCTCCCCACCGCCTGCCCTTTTCCAGCTTCTAAAAGCTGCTTGCATTTATTGGTTCAACACCTCCTTCCATAGTTAAAGCCAGCAATGGCCCATTGAGGCTTTCTCATGATGCCATTTCTGATTCCAACTCTTCTGTCTCCCTCTTTCCCATTTATGGACCCTTGTAATTACATGGACCTACCCAGGTAACCCAGGATAATCTCCCTATCTTAATCTCAGCTGATTAGAAACCTTAATTCCAACTGCTACCTTAATCCCCCCAGCCATACGATGTAACATATTCCTAGTCAGAGGGGATCAGGACCTGGACATCTTTGAGGAATCATTATTTCTCTTACCAATCTTATGAGACACCCATTCAGCTTCTGCACTGAGGGGCCAATTCCATTTTTTCTTTCTTTCCTTTCTCTAAACAAGCGGTTTCTTTTCTTTTTTTTTTCTGACATATACCTAACACGCAGTAAAGTTCACAAGTCTGAAGTTTAAAGCTTATTGAGTTTTTACATACATAAAAATTCACATAACCACCACCCAGCTCAAGTCATAGAACATTTCCATTACTCCAGAAAATTGCCTGGTGCCGTTTCCCAGTCAATACCCACTTCAAGAAGTAACCACAGTTCTGACTCTTCTCACTATTCATTTTGCCAGTTCAAGAACTTTATATAAATACAATCATGCAGAAGTACTCTTTTTAGTCTGGCTTCTTACATGCAACATGTCTATGAGGTTCATCCATGTTGTGCACATAACAGTAGTTTTTCTATTACTCGGTATGAATATATCATGATTTGTTCATGCAACTTCTAGTTGGTGACATTTCTGGGTTTGGCAACTCTATTCTAAACTCCTTGTGGTTATGGGCAGCCATCACTCCATTTCTGAACACCAGAATTAGGCCTAATTCTGCTCTCTGAACTACACTCCAAAACCAGAATTGTTCTTCCTGGTGCCAATCTTTGAAATGTTTGGGAGGTTGAATCTACTCTGCCCCTAACACCTGCTCTTCCTAAGTTAAACATTCCTGGTTCCACCAACTGCTCTGTATAGGCTCCAGATTCCACACAGCCACAATCCTGGCGAACACTGTCAGACCCAAAGGTAGCAATCTGCAGCAATGGGACAAATCTTAAAGATTGTGAACAGTAGTTGGTTATGTTTTCCCTATCACTGGCTCCTATAAGACTCAATTATATTTTTGGCCCCCTTCTAGCAATTCGGTGTTACATCACAGCAAGCCATATGTACATTGTCTTCATCCCTAATTTCACCGTATTTTTCTTTCTCCTTTATCCCTAGTCACTCATCTTAAAGAGTTGTGGTATTTTTATGAGCTAACTTAAAATCCCTTCTGAAGAAAAAAAGGGCAGGATGCCAAATGTTTAATTTTGGCTAGAGAGCACGTCCGGTTGCATTCTGGAACGTGTACAGTTCACAGTTTTTAAACGAAGATCCTAAAGCTGCTGTGGGACTGCTTCAATTTAGAACACCTTATTTAACGGATGAGTACCTCCAGGCTCAGTTAAGCAGCTGGGGACTGGCTGTTGTCATGGTTGTGGTGTTACACGCAAGCCAGGTGAGACGCCGGACTAGAGTCCCCAACCCCTTTCTTCGTCAACGCTTCCCCAGGACCACGCAAACGTGAAGAGGCCGATGGGAATGCACCCATATTCCCCCTACAACCCCTGCGCCCGAAGCCCCGCCCCAGAAGAGGGGTGTTGGCCAGGTGACCACTCTGTCCACCTCCAGGCTGGCCTTCCAATTGGTTGCGAGCGCTGCCTGCCACAGTTCTGCAGGCTCTCATTGCCAGCAGCAGAGTGGAGGCGGAGCTCGCCACGCGCTATACGCGGCACAACGTGCTCCCCACGCGGGAGCCGGTTGGCGCGTGTAGAAGGGTGCAGGCGTTGCAAGATCAAGCTCGGCCCACTCTCCTCTGGTCCTCACGTTCGGCCATGGCTTCAGCAGCCAGCACGGACGACAGTGGCCGCAGGAAGCCCCGCCTGGCGGCTTCATTGCAGATCAGCCCCGGGCCCAACGCCTGGCGTCCATCAGCTAGCCCGGGTCAAGACCCCTGGGAGCCTGCGCCTGCCCCCAGCGTAGTGGACAATGAGGGGGGCGGGCAGCCGCTGGTCTCGGCTGCTGCGGGAGACGGTGGGCCTCGGGCGGGAGCCGGAGTCGGGGTACTAGGGGCAGCTCAGGCACCGGAAGACTTGGGAGAACAGATGGAAATGTCCCCGAGGGTCTCTGTCCCGCCTGCAGGGCCTGCCGGGGACTTTCCGAAGGCAGCCAGACCCCTGGGCCTACAGCTCAAAGACCCGCCACCTGGCCAGGCCGTGGACTTGCTTGCGCAATACGCGGCCAGTCAGGGCGTCTCCCTGAACTTCCGAGAGGACCAGACAGCAGGTGAGGCCCGGAGGCCTGGGACAGCAGCACGTCTGGGCTAACCCCAGATAAATCAGAGGGGACGTTGAGCTGAGCCTGAGCCTTTGCCTGTCCCCTCCCCACCCAAAGTAGACTCCTGCTGTAAGCAGTATGGTGCTAGTCCACCGGCTACACCGGACATCTAACTGTGGCAGGTCACGGCAGGGTGAACGTTATTCCCATCCGAGAAGCTCGTGAAGGTTAAAAGACGTGCCCCAAGCTACCCAGCCTTTCGCACGTGGTTGTTTTTTGTTTTTGTTTTTTTCTTTTTCAGAGGTCAATTACATGCAATTACAGTCGCCTTTACAGCATTGGAGATGACTGAGTGAGGACCAGCCCCTGACTTAAATACATTATCAATTTGATAATGGGAACACTAGAGATAATCATTACTGCGTCCTTTCCTCTTCCTCAGGGCATCCTTTAAGCCAGTGCATTTCTAGTTTCTAAGGAGATAGCAAGATAATCATTGCTTTTGGGAATTTTTGTGAAAGTATCTAAGAGACTCCCAAATGAACAGCTCAAAAAGAAATAATGTATTAAATATGTCCCTAGGATTTGCTTTAATCAGGTGTGGTAGGACAGCAGACATAGAAATGATGGTTATGAAGGAAGAAGTAAATAGTCACAGATCCCTCAAAACAAGGCACAGCTCACCACACAGGGCCATGTGTGAAGGGACCAAGGTGGGTCAGGGGGCAGAAGAGACTGGAAAGAGCAGGTTCCAGAGCCTTTTTGGGGTTTTTCTTGGGAAGAAATGGTTGAAGCAATGCAGGTAGGCTGAGTAAGCTTAGGATTGAGTAAGGCAAAACAGTGAGTAAATTTAGGGATTCTAGGGATGGTCCCTAGTTGTCTAATACATGGCCCTAGGGTAAGGATATGAGGAATATTGGCTTGAGTGAGAGTTTGATGGTTGGGATGTGAGCTCTAGATTGCTTGTTTTTTATATCAAAGGCATGCTTGCAGGGGAGTCATTTGCTATCTCTAGAAAATAGGTAGCCTCGGGAGGGGTGGTCTCTACAGGATCAAGAGCCCAAATGCCAGGGCATCAAGAATACAGAAAATAAGGAAATGGATTCAATACAGATGATAATGTCCAACATTCATGGGTTCTGGATGATGGGCCAGGCACTGTCTGAAGGACTCCAGTCACGTTAACTCATTGAGTCCTCACTGTTCCTTAAAGCAGGTTCAATACTGTTGCTACCATTCTACAGATGGGAAGACGGGCCAGAGAGGCGGTAGCTGCGTGCCTACAGCTGTGTGAGCCCAGGCAGATTTTTTCGGAGCCTAAGCTGAACCACAGGATTGTATTGCCCCTCTTTCTGCTTGACATTTCCCTTTCCACTGTTTATGTGGGTAGGCACGGTTTTGAGTCACTTTTATTTTTATTTTCTATTTTTACAGAATTTCAAAGAATAGTATAAATGAATTCCCACAAACTCTTCACCCAAATTCTCCACTTAACATTTGCCACCTTTGCTTTGTATGTCTCTGTCCATTCTATATATTTATATATGAATATCCACATTATTATTTTTTTATTAATCTGAAAGTTAATTTACCCCTTAAACTCTTTAGTGTGTATTTCCTAAGAACAAGGACATTGCTTTATAACTGCAAGACAACGATCAAATTCTAGAAATTTAAACATTAATATAATAAATACCATTACCTGATTACCAGTCACATTCAAATTTTGCCAATTGTCCCAATAATGGCCCCCCAACCCACCGTGAACGATTACATTTAGCTGTCACACTTCTTTAATCTCCTTTTATCAGAAGCGATTGTCTTTATCTTCAGAACGTTGATGTTTATGAAGAGTCAGGGCCAGTTGTTTTGTAGAATGCCCTTACACTGGGGTTTGTCTGTTTCCTCAGGCTTGGGTTCAAGCTGTGCTTTATTGGCTGGAGGCCTGTGATCTGTTTGTCCAACCAATGGTGATGGTAGCTGGGAGGGCCTGAGGTGGCATCCTACAGGTGTCTTTACTTTCCCCTTCGTGCTTAATTAGTCATGGGGGGAATGGGTGGCGTCTGGAAATGGTGTGAATATTCTGTTCCCCATGACAGTCACCTTGTGGTTTTAGTGTCCTTTGATCACTGTTGCCAGGTTTAGTTATTGCCATGCTAGCTGCCATGCGCTGGTATTCTGATGCCAGTGTTCCTTTTGCATCTACCCTTTGGCATCTTTGATGCTCTTTTAAAGTAGGTGAATCTGAGCACTAGCGAGCAGTGCCTAGGTGCGGATTTTCTTCTAAAAGGGCAGTCCTTTTGAGAAACAATTTAGTAGCAAGTACCAGCGACCGCCATGAACTAAGTTTATGCCCTTTGACCACGTGAACCCAGTTCTAGGATTTCCACCAGTCTGTTTTGTGTCATAAGTAACACCTAAAGTGATAGGGTTTGATAGACAAACCTTTCAAACATGGAAGAGAAATAAAGCTGTGTGTCTGGGGAAAGGCAGGGGTTGCAATGTGCTCAGGGTCCTCATCCCAAGAACAGCATGGCCCTGAATCTGGGTTCTGGCACTACCTGGGTACACTGTCCGCCCTTTGTGTACCCCTCTATAAAATGGGATCTTACAGGCCTATTTCAGAGGGGCTTAGGAGGATTCTCTGTGTGATGATGGGCCCAGTCCACCAAAGCACGTGCTGTGCCTGGTGCAGGAATTGGCAGTCTGTCTCCTTATCATTCTGGCTGTCCTCGGTCTCAGATGTCAGGAGGAAGCACAGCTGACAGCTGCTGTGGCTCAGGTGGGGCAGATGTCGTGGCCCTCCTAGAAAGGGCCCACAACGGGCATGACGTGCAAGGCACTGCTTCACGGCCCCCTCCTTCCCTAGATCCCCGCTTCCCCTTTTCTGTGTGCGTGGAACTGGATGGGGTGGCCTGCCCCACGGGCACTGCCAGCAGCAAGAAGGAAGCCAAACAGCAGGCGGCTCTCTCTGCCCTCAGCTACATCCAGAGTCAGATGGCGAGCCCAGGTGAGGGGGCAGGTGTCCCAGGTGACCGAGCCCCAACTGGTGGGAGGCAGGGGGCTGAAACACTGTGTTTGTGCACGTGTGTGGGGACAGGGTGAGTTGCTGCAGAGACCATCTGGGCATCGGGACTGGCCTTTCAAGGAGCTGGGGGCAGGGACTGCTAGGAGAACAGCCCAGGAACTGGTTTCTGGAAGATGAACCCCCCGCACCACCACCACAATGGAACTTCTTGGCTTCCTGAACGACAAAGGACAGGAGGGCAGACCCAGGACAATGGTAACCCACCCCCTTGTCTCTCTTCCAGAGCCCCCCAAAACCCCCAGCAAGCCTCCACCTAGCTCCGTGAGTATAGGTAGGTGGGCCCCTGTTGACCCAACTCCTGTGGCGAGGGGAGTGGCATGGCCTGCGGGGGTCCCCACCTCTATCCTTTCCCCCATGTGCAGAGAACATTCTGACCCACGAGCAGCGCTGCGCAGCTGTGGTCAGCGCTGGCTTTGACCGCCTGGTGGACGAGACCTCACCGTACCGGGCCTGTAAGGGGACCGTGGCGGCCGTCATCCTGGAGAGAGGTAGCGGTTGCCCTGCCCCTCACCCACGCACCTCAGAAGGCCCCTGTGGGGCCCTCGTCTTAGGCCGGGCGATCTCTGCCTTCTCCCCTTGCAGAGGTCCCAGGCGCCAGGGGTCACGCCAAGGAGATCTACGAGCTGGTGGCACTGGGCACAGGCAGCAGCAGCTGTGCTGGCTGGCTGGAGTTCTCGGGCCGGCAGCTCCACGACTGCCATGGTCTGGTCATCGCTCGGCGGGCCCTGCTGAGGTGAAGGGCGGACAGGGTGGGCACTCGGTGGCAGCCTTAGGCAGGATGCAGCATCTCCCAGCGGCTCTTCTGTCTCTCCCAGATTCTTGTTCCGGCAGCTCTTGCTGGTGACACAGGGAGGCCCCAAGGGCAGGGAGCGGTCTGTGCTGGCCCCCCAGCCGGGACCTGGGGCCCCGTTCACCCTTAAGCCCCGGATCTTCCTACACATCTACATCAGCAACACCCCCAAGGGAGCTGCTCATGATATCTAGTATGTGAAGAGCCACTGTGGGTGTGGTCAGATTGGGAAAGACGGTGTCAGGTGGGGTCAGAAGACCAGCTCTGGCTCTTGTGCCCAATGTCCTGTTTCCTCCTCTGCCTCTGCAGCCTCCCACCATCCCCAGAGAGCCGTCTCCTTCACAGCACCCCCTTCCGCCTGCAGGCCCATATCCAAGGGGAGCTGAAGCCCGTGTGCTACGTGGCACCCGCACTCCGGGACACCCACGTGGGCTGCCTTTCGGCCAGTGACAAGCTGGCACGCTGGGCTGTGCTGGGGCTGGGCAGTGCCCTGCTAGCCCACTTCTTGCCCCCGCTCTATGCCACCAGCCTTGTCCTGGGTGAGGACCCTGAGGGGCGTGAGGGTGGAAGGTGGACTATGGGTGGTGTGTGGGAGAGGGTGGTGATGACTCAAACCTTGTTGTGTGTCTTCTGCCGCCACAGCTGACCCCTGCCACGACCCCCCGACTCTGAGCAATGCCATCCACACCCGGCCCAGCCTAGACAGTGTCTTGGGGTCACACCTGCCACCTCCCTACACCCGTACCACACTGCACCTGTTTTCAGGGCCCCCCGTGGGTCCCTGTGACCCCTCTCCCAACACCTGCCATGACCTGAGCCTCAACTGGAGCCTGGGGGACCCTGATGTCGAGGTTGTGGATGTGACTACCGGGCGTGTGAAGGCCGAGTGAGAAAGGCCCGTGGGTGGGCTGGAGAAGGGGTCTGGTGGTGAGGGCTCCCCATCTCCCTGCCTGTGAGATAAGAGCATGCATCGAGCCACCAGCTTGGGTCCTAATCCCAGCTCAGCCTCTTACAGCTCTATGACCATGGCCTGCGCTTCTGTTACCCACCCATGACACCCCACGATATCCCCTGAGATTGTCATGACTTGAAAGGAGATGGTGTGAGGGGCGTGGTGCGGGTGTTAGTTCAGTTCATCTTTTCCTTCCTCTGATCTCCCTGTTCTTTTCTCTCCATCTCCAGTGCTGCCCCTGGGCCTCCCTCCCGCCTCTGCAAGGCGGCCTTTCTCCGGGCCTTCCGCCAGGCCGCCCAAGCTCTCGGGAAGTCCCACCTCCTGGCCTTGAAGACCTATGAGGAGGCCAAGGTCAGCTGCTCCCCCACCCCTCCCGCCCTCTTCCTTCTGCACCCCCAGCAAGCACCATCTCTTCACACCCTCTCATCTCTTGCCCTAGGCTGGGACCTACCAGGAGGCACGCCAGCAGCTGTCTCTCCTCCTGGAACAGCAGGGCCTGGGGGCTTGGCCTTCAAAACCATTGGTGGGCAAATTCAGAAGCTGAAACAGACCTCAGGCCTGAGGTCCGTGAGCCGAGCTGGACCCTCCTGGAGGAGCGCTGTTCCTGGGGGAGGGGTGGGGAATGGTTGGAGCTGAGTAGAGCTACACAGGGTGAAATCGGGATTGGAGGGAGGGACATGATGTGGTGGAGGGATGGGGGCTGCTGCGGATTTGGGCTTGAATAAAGCTGTTTCTGGTGCTTCTGTGTGTTTGCTGTTTGGCGGGTAGGGGTAGCCTGGAGTCCTTTTGTTTATGGAGAAGCCCCTGTCATGGCTGAGCTCTCGGCGGGCGTCTCCTCGCAGAATTACTTTTTGCAATTATTTTTTTACTAATTGCAGCACCAGCCCTAGCTCCTCCCTGCCTTCCAGCCTGCATGCTCCGGGGAGGGCTGAGGCCACGTTGTGCTGGGGCCAGGCTGTTGGCAAGGGGTGTGGGAGCATTCCCTCTTCAGTGTCATGGAGAGTCCAGCCTCCCTTCTTTTCCCAGGACTCTCCCTGGGAGGAGCAGCGGAGAAGGGCAGTGCCTGCTCTTGGGCACCCCCCGCTGGCTAGTTGAGCAAGCTCAGCGAGTCTGAGCATCCCTGCGTTGAAAGGTGCCTGGACCTTGTGAGTGTTGGTAGTCCCTCGTCAGAAGGGAAGGCGGGGCCCTGGGCAGACAGCAGCCCCAGTTCCTGCCCTTAAGGTCCCCTGGATTTCTGCAAGTGGGTAGGGCCTGGAGCCCTGTGGGTGTACTGGGGTGAATAGTGTCCCCCCAAATTCACATTCACGTGAAACCTGTAAAAGACACCTTATTTAGAAATAAGGTCTTTGCAGATGTAATCAAGTTAAGATGAACCTGTAAAAGACACCTTATTTAGAAATACGGTCTTTACAGATGTAATCAAGTTAAGATGAAGTCATACTGGATTAGGGTGGGCCCTGAATCCAATGACTGGGGTCCTTGGAAGAGGTAGACACAGGAGAAGGCCATATGAAGATGGAGGCAGAGATAAGTGTGATGCTACCACAAGCCAAGGAATGCCTGGAGCCACCAGAAGCTGGGACTGTTTTTTTCCCTAGTCTCCAGAAGTAACCAGGCCTGCCAGCACCTTGACTTCAGACTTCTGGCCTCCAGAGCTTGAAGAATAAATGTCTATTGTTTGAAGGCACTCAGTCTGTGGTGTCTTGTATGGCAGCTCTAGGAAGCTAAGCCTCCCACCAACTCTGCACCAGAGAAGCATTTTACAGGTGAGGAAACTGACACGGTGAAGTTGGATATCTATCTTCCAGAAGAGCACATGAGGCCGAGGTAGAGCTGCAGTTCCCAGGGAGGCATCTACTTCCAAGCCCTTCAATCCCAGTGGCTGCCTTGGCTGCTGCTGGATTTGCTTCTGTGACCTTGGACAAAACTCCCAAACTCTTATAAAATGAGAACTCGATGGTACGTTTCCTAAAACTATCTCTAAGGTTCCACGTTCTCACCCTAGCTCTTTCTTAATGGCCACCAGAGATGGGAGACGCAAATCCTCGCGGTTGAAAACAGGAGCTGTGCTGGGAGAGGGTGAGAAAGCGGTGGGAGGACGGGAGAGGGCGCTCCAGGCAGGAGGAGCAAGACGGGTTTTCAGGAATGCGCATGTGCAAAGGACGGGGAGGCGGGCCAGAGGGAGGCTGCGAGGTGGGCCAGAGGGAGGGAAGTTTGAAGCAAGAGGGAGGGTCTCAAAGGGCCGATAAGCACTGAATTTTTTTTTTTTTTTTTGTATAACTGAGAAAACAGTTATTTACTGTTAGCTTCCCCCGCCCCTCAAGGCCAACTTTGAAATGATGATTTCTTGTGATTATTTTTTTTCAGGGAAGGAGAGAATTTTTAAAACACCCAAGCCTATTAGCACATTGTTTTCCCCAGGAGATAATTTAAATTGATTTACTTTTGTGCTGCAATGGTGACTACAACCAAATCCAGAACTATACCAGCCGTTCAAACTGCAGTTTTATGAAATGAGTCTTTGGATATTCATTAATCGCATACTCACTGGGTAAACAAGTTATTCAAAATGACATTAACTCTGCTGTGTTCTGCCAAGTAAGTAATATTTGTCCCCACGTTGCATACATCTGTCTGTCCAATCCTTTCCTCCCAAGACAGTCCTCATTACAGAATATTCGCTCAGTTCCTTTGACTCAGCTTATTTATTACTGCAGAGTGATGATGAACACTGCTTTCGAAATGGAGAGTCTGCTAATGTCTTTTTGGCCTAATCCCCTCTGGGTGAAGTTTTGCCAACACTAGCATATTTAAATCAGGAGGTGATTTAATCTAGCTGAGCCCCACTCAAAGCTGCTTCCTCCAGGACAGATTTGCCATCACTCTCCTGTTCTGTTTCCTGCAGCTCTGAGCTCTGGGGATCTTTTCTGAACCCTGGTCACCCCCTGCATCATGCTGTCCCTCTGCTGTGTATAGTCTTCACCTCTGAACAGAAGTGAGGCCTTAGGAACCCAAGGGGCCACTCCACCTTTCCAAGCCTCAGTTTCCTCGTCTGGCAAATGTGAGTCAGCCACAGATGCAAAGATTGCACGATTATGGTGAAATGAAATGGGACGTGGGCCGAACACTGTTCCTGGCTCTTGGCAGTCCTCAGGCAGCGGCTGTCATCAGTCCTGTCTGCTCTCAGCTACAGAGGTAGACTAATTGTTTCTCTCCATCTCCTTCTGTGAAGTCTCCCACGTAGAAGATGTCCAACAGACAAGTGTTGAATGGAAAATTAATGATGTATAGCAGGAGTTCCCAACCCCCTGGCCACGGACCTGTAAAGTGTGCGGCCTGTTAGGAACCAGGCTACGCAGCAGGATGTAAGCAACAGGCAAGTGAGTGAAGCTTCATCTATATTTGCAGCCGCTCCCCAGCACTAGCATCACCGCCTCAGCTCCACCTCAGATCATCAGGCATCAGATTCTCATAGGAGCACCGGTCCCTGGTGCCAAAAAGGTTGGGGACCGCTGATGTATAGGATCTCTTCTTTACAGGAATGGGTTAGAGGGAGAAAATAGTAACCTTGTTCTAAAATATGGTTTTAGAAAACATTTCAAAATTTTTCATTTTGTTGTGGCCCCTTTTTTCTCTCTGCCCTATATAAGCAGTCAGTAAAACCCAGAGAAAAGTTAGC